CAGGAACTCAAACAGAGCAGGAACCTGAAGGCAGGAGCAAACGTAGAGGCCATGGAGAGGTGCTGCTTACTGCCTTGCTCCTTAAGACTTGCTCAGCCTGCTTTCCTATTGAAACTGGGACCACCAGCCCAGAATTGGTGCCACACACAATGATCTGGGCTCTCCCACATCAGTTACTAATTAAGAAAATGCCCTCTAGGCCTGCATATAGCCTGATCTTATTGAGGTATTTTTCTCAATTGAGGGTACCTCCTCTCTGGTGACTCTACTTTGTGTCAAGGTGATATAAAACTATTCAGGACACCAATGATACAGTTTTTTAATTTTATTGTCATTGGAATTGATCAAACTTCTTTTTCCTTGGTGACCCAATACACAGCACAAATGTTTTATTGTCATTGCTTTGAAAACTTGCATAGAAGGATTTACTAATTTAAAATTGTCTATCATTTTGACTAGCATTTATATCAATCAATAGACCTGCATCAATATCAGCATGTACTCAACTGTCATGCTATACTGCTTGTATGATTTAAGTACAAATAGCAAGAATGTATTGTCATGACATTACAAGTGTGTTAGCAGACACACCTGTTAGGGAACTCTACCATGAGGTCGGATGCTTCTGAATTCACTACTGATCACAGTTCATAGATATTTGTTAGATAATATTGTTGTCCACCCTTTGTTTTATGTGGCTTTTAAAAATGACTTTAACAATGCTGAAGTGTTATTAGTAGGTTTTCCCTGTCCAACTGTCTTTACATTGGGGCCCACAAACAGTAAACTACAAAACTTTTATAACTATCGCAGCAAGTATTTCAGACTGAAATGAGAAAAGACTTAAACAAGTTATCATTTCATTATAATACAGATTTTTGTTCACATAAATCCAAGCAAAGAGAAGGCAAAACACAAATGGCTTTGCATCACACATAGTAAATGTGTGTGATTCCTTTCAACATAGAGAAGAGTTTTCTGGAACTTCATCAAGTCTTAAAAATATACCATGCAGAAGTAGAGTTAGAAAAAATGAGATTAGGACTTTAACTCACCTCAAATTAACTGCTACTTGAGGTTCCATGAATGCCCACTATTATTTATAGCAAATGTCTGACTTCAACATGAGGACTGTGTAACCAATTCTGATTAGACCTGTAAGAATTGTGTTTAATCTGTCACGAAGACTTAGTACATTTTCAAAACATGCTATATTCATTATGATTCTTTTGAATCTGGTGCTATTTAAGTATTTAAATGAGTAAGTATGTGAATGAATGCATGCTTAAAAGATGAGAACTGTCTTTCTAAGGTGCAGGCCACAAGGCTGACAGTGGTGGACGCTTCTTGCTTTTTAAAATTGAATTCACTCAGTAAAACAATAGCTCCAGATGCATAGCAGACAGTGACGTGTACCTTTGCAGCACCACAACTCGGCCAAGAATGCAGGGTACTGGGGTTATGGCTGTAACTGTCTTCAAGCAAGCTTACATCCTGATTTGTAGTTAGCTTTTTTACATTCCAACTTTCTTCATCTATATCTGCAAGGCCTGCTAAGATGTCAGAGTTCAGTGGTAAATGAAAATATTCTACTTCAGGAAATTTAACAGAGGAAATAAACACAGGAAAAAAGTACAATAATAGGTAGGAAAAGAAGAAGGCAACCCAGATGGAAATAGTGAACATGGTGTCTTGAATAAACACCTACTTTAAACTATCTCTTATTTACCATTTTAGAAAAAAATGTACTTTTTAATGTTCCAAATTGTTAACTCTCCATTAAAAAAAAAAAAAAAACAATTCTTTCCCAAAGTTAATCACAAATTCTAAAGCCACTGACCTACTTGGGAATCCAAACAATGGGCTACTCTGAGATCCAACAAGCAAATTTCCACGTCTTATTCAGTTTCCCTTGGGCAACTGATCAAATTAAGATAGTTAAGAAAGTCAGGGAAGGGTTACGATCACAAATGTGTATGGGTAACTTTTCTGTGATGTCTATATAATCACCACCTGTGAAAACAGAGCTCTATGGCATCTCAAGCTGAATGCGGTCCTTGTCAGCGGACTCCAGTCTAGCAGAATGAAGACTGAAAGTAGACCATTTAGACCAGAAACTTTCCCAAGTGACCTTCACATTCTGTGAGGAGTTCCAAGAAGACTTGGATTCTAAAATATAGTTGTATTTTATTAACTGCCTATTTTCAGGATAAATTTAAGGCAAGTTCCAGTGAAAGCTTATGTCCACATGAGCCAGAACACTTCAGAAGACATAGGAAATAAGATTATAGAGAAATGTTGGAGGATGGGATCTACAAACTAATGATGCCTAGAATGCAAAGCCTTAAACTCTGCTCAGTTAACAGAGGAAAAAAAAATACTAGTTAAAGAGAACATGTCTGTTATTTGGGTGGGGGGGGCAGATATGAACTCAGTTTTTTTGTTTGTTTTTTTCAAAAATCCAAAAAATATAAAAAAAATCCAAAAATATATTGAAAAATTGACTATCAACTTTATGCTTCACAAACATCAGTATACAACATGTGAAGCAAATGTTATTTATTCAATTTTGAAAAATAAGGTACCAAGTCACAGAGAAGATAAATAACCCCCAAACTTAGAATCGGCAAGTAAAAGGTCAAGAATGTCAGTCCGTTTGCATTCAACTGTGTAGTTCACTGACAAATTCAAAAGATGGAAATGCCATCGCTCACTCATCTCTGTCTTCCAACTCAAACCATGCCAACACACACATGACCAGACACACAGAAACACAATGGGTTGACGATAGTCAGGGGTAGTTCAAAGAATCTTCCAGAAGCTCATGCCAGTTGTCCAGGATGAGTACCTTCCTCCATTTGTGTGAAGTACAAGATATTTTGTCAACTATATTTAAAAGGAAAGGTCTAGCTTTTGTTTGGTGTAGTGTTCTATCCATCTATATCCTAGCAGGGTCATTTAAGATTTAGACTGGGATTCCAAAAGTGGCTTTCAAAGACACATGGAGAAGCCAGTGAACACTTGTGTTTTTCTCCTATAGACTCTCCAATGAAAATGATTTTTCATTCAGAAACCAGTGGTTCAAACTAAGGTCATCCGCAGCTTGACACAACTTGCCAAAGAATTCAAAACAATGATTTCCATTGTAGGTGATGGAAAAGGGTGGTCATGCATTGGTTATCTGAAGAAACCTTAACTTATGTAAGGCACCATAAGAGTAAGATGAAACCCCTAGGCTTCAGAGACAGGACTAGGCAATATGAGGCAGGTTATATTAGAGAGGTCTTTAGTCCAAGCAGAACACTGGGAGGGGTCTGCTCAGGTTGATGGAAGCTGAAGTTATAGGTAAGAAGAGTTAGAGGATGCATGCCCAGAAACTCCTACAAGAGGAAGGCTTGAATTCTACTGGACCCAAAAACTTTCAGGCTGAAAGTGTTGGCAGCGTAGAGCTGAGTAAGCAGAATTGGATAGCTGGCACACTATTTATCAGTAACAAAACTAATTCGGTACTGTGAAGATTCTAATCTTAAAAAAAAAAAACGTGGATGGGTGAAGTGACTTGCACAAGAGTCTAATTGTGGCAAATTTTATAAAAATTTTTAATTTCATAGATTTTCTTCCAAAATACACTTTACTCTCCGTTGATCATTAAAACAATAACAAAAACGTGGCTGCTGTGCATCACAGGTGTTAAAGATCTTTTCATGGTATGCCGTAGTCAATTCAGCAGCAACATCGCATGGTAGCTTCATAGAAGTCGGATCACTCGAGTTGTTTTATATTTCAGACACTGACAATTATAGCTTGACTCAAATATAATTCAATACAAAGTTTCTTTCTGGACTAAATACACTTGAATTGTCTTATTGCCAATTTATGATGATTTTGGTTATATTAAATTATATGCTAGAGTTGAACCAATAAAAATCAGAGAAAGAAAAGTCTCTAAATGCATTATTACCCTGTAAATTGTTCTGCTCAATGGGTCAATCTACCCTAAAGTATCCTGTTCATAATTGCGGGGAAAGTCAGTATAAAAACTAAAGTCTGCATGTGATGCCCCAGAGAATAAGATGGAAAGAGTTAAAGAAGAGTGCCCCGGCCCATTACATATGGATAACTGTGCAAAAAATAGCATGTTATTCCATTCAAACTAAGGGACATTTACCAGAAATTATTGTTTGGTCTGTGCCTTACGTTTTAAATTAACCAATGAGTTTTCAAAAGTAGCACCATTTCTATTACTAAAAAATTAAACTTTACTTTCAAAGTACATCAACTGCTCTCCTTTCTTTTATCTTCAGTGTTTCTCCAAACATTTAGTATAAAAATGTGTATAGAGCTGGGCGGTGTTGGCACACGCCTTTAACCCCAACATTCAGGAGACAAAATCAGGTGGATCTCTGTGAGTTCGAGTCCAGCCTGGTCTATAAGAGCTAGTACCGGGACAGGCTCCAAAGCTACAGAGAAACCCTGTCTCGAAAAAAAAAGTCTATAGAAATATGATTATTCCAAATACAGTTGATTAACATTTCATCGGTTATGATATATGCAAATAGCAAAGCTGCATCAGATTAGATGTACACCAGTGGTGACAATTTAAATTGATTTAATATTCTTTCAAAAAGTTTCTCATCTTTCGAGTTGTATTGACTTTACCAATGTCCTTTTGATTGTTGCATTAATCTATGCACAATATGATACTGCATAACCTAAGGCAGGCAAGAAGTAATGTGAAATGTGTAGGCATAACATTTTAATGATACAGCACTTGGGTTGAATCGAATGTCTGCAGTTAATCCACAGAACAATACGGAGCGAAAACTTCTGACATGTTTAGCAGACCAAATATTCATTAAGGGAAGCAAACTAGCTGCATTCTAAAATCTCCCTCGTAAGAATTACTGCATCTTCAGATCTGTGAGCAAGAACTAGACTTAATTTCAAGCTGAAGTGCCTGGTGTTCTGGTAGTATCAAACTCTTTATTTTTTCATTTCAGGTCTTAAAGGGATTCCCAGAATGTTTACAAGCTGACATTTGCCTGCATCTGAACCAGACTTTGCTGCAAAACTGCAAAGCCTTTCGAGGAGCAAGTAAAGGCTGCCTTAGAGCTTTGGCAATGAAGTTCAAAACCACCCACGCGCCTCCAGGAGACACCCTGGTTCACTGTGGGGATGTCCTAACTGCACTGTACTTCTTATCCAGAGGCTCCATAGAAATCCTCAAGGATGACATAGTGGTAGCTATTCTCGGTGAGTATTTTAGCCAGGACCAATGACATCTTCAGCTGTGAGTGGTTGCAAACATTAGTTTGGAATGACAGACTAACAGACCGATCGGTTGTTAAGGACGACAACACCAATCATTTCAGAGCTTTGTTTCAATTCATTGCATATCAAATTAACCTTGCAAAAATGTATTTTTAATGTCTCAATTTTTGTGTAATATGCAAACATTCTCGTGATTCTCATCAACTGTTGGCAGCTACTTAGACATTTGAAGCTAAATATATAAAAACAGTTGACATTTTCCTTTTCATGTGAGATCTTGGCTTCATGGTTGATTCTTTAGCATCTTAATATGAATTACTCAGTGTTGTAGACATACTAATTAGCAAGTGCCTACAGTAATATGAGCTAAGTTTATAATTTCATGAATTTCATTTACCTGCTATTTATTAAACCCTTAGAAAAGAAATTGGGGTCCTGACTTAACAGAGTGAAGCGGTGCATTTAACATTAGGACTTGAGTTGATAGACTACAAAATGAGTAAAACATGGGTTTGAGTGTAAAGGAACATTCCTGTTTAGTTCGCTCTGTCTCTTTAAAAATGAGCCTGCTTGTATAAATTCATAGCATTTCTTTGGACTGTTAGGGTAATGGAGAGATGAACAGGAAAAGCCAACTCTATTCGCCTGCTTTCTGACCATATTGCTGCAGGATCAAAACTCCCTCTCCTCACAGTGTCTATGGAAATTCAGTTTTCTCATAGATTTAATACACTGTTCCATTAATAAGCAGTCAGACAGCCCTAGAGGCATAAGTGGGAGGTAGAATCTCACCCAGCACAGTCAAGGCCCCAGGTTCATCCCCCAGTGTCTGTCTATTAACTGTTCAATCTATCTTAGTTGAATGGTTTCTTTACACTCAGTTCTCAGTTCTCACATTTGATCATTATTAACTCACAGGTTTTATCTGTTTGTTGTGGGACAGACCCAAAGCATGGCTCATTAGATGCCCTACACAAACAAAGAAGTTTAAGTGATTCCCTTGGCATTTTGATAATTTCGTTATTATTGCGGTCAAAAAATCCACAGATGGAGAAGGTACACTACTTGGTTTCTAAACTAATAAAGAGTCATGGAATAAAAGCATCCTAATCACCTCAAGGCCACTTACCAAAAGAAAGTTTTCACTGGATTTGACATTGGCAACTTGCCTTGGTGTCTTACCAAGGAAAACGGAGGCTGATCTTTATGCCTGCCTGTCCTGGTGTCTGTGGGCAAAACAACTCGCTTCTGTGCTTAGACTGCTGTGAGTATAGGATGCTGTTCAGCGTCGTGGGGCTTCCTTCTTGCTCATCTATATTCACAGAAGATAATTAAAATATAAACCCCATGCAAATACAGTTCAGAGTCATAAAATAATTGTCTAAACAAAGCCATCCAATCTAAAGACATGCAAAAGCTTCTCCTTTGCTGTCCCAATTTCCATGTATGTTAGCATTTGAAAAATTATTGCTATTCATTATGGTTCTCAAAGTCAATAAGTATTTACTTAAACTATGCCTAATGACTTCTATCTAATTATTAGTATATGGTATTTGACTTTTCCTTATTAAATTCTCATTTAAAATAATGTCCCAGCACTTTTCACTTGTTGGAACTTTATTGTTTAAACATCCTTGATAGCTCCCTAAATTGGAAGACAGATGTGGTAATCCACCAGAAGCAAACATAAATGCATTCTTTATGCGTATCCTTAATCTGAAAAGAACCTTTAGAAATGTGAAGAAAGTGCTATTTTGCATTGCTACTAATGACTTTCAAAAGTGACTTCATCAATTAGTCTACCAATATTGACTAAAGGTATATACCATGTGAGTACCTTGATACTCAGAAACAGAAAAATGGCCATGAAATTTTGAGAACTATTGGGAGGTTTGATATCCTGGGCAGGTAAGGATATTGACTATGGTGTCAAAATGCATGGGTTTTTTAATCCTGGCTACTTTTCCTTCCTCCATTTCACCCAACTGAAAAATGGACCTTATGATATTCAGTTTACTTCTTTAATTTTGTTCAGTATTTATAGATTTTTATAATAATCACATCTTCACAAAATAATTTTTGAGTATCATATACATCCAAATGTGTAAGCATACATATATGCAATATACATAAACATTTGACATAAACATAGCACCTACATGGTCGTCAGAAAATATCGATTATTCTTACTCTTTTCATTGAATATAACTGAAAGTAGACAGCACAGGTTACACAGAATCCAATACGGAAATAATCCTAGTAATTGTAGAAGTACAATGGGAACAAATTTTCAGAGCTAAGCGCAAGTGACCGAAGCCCTGACTATGTCTGTGGGTGACATACATAGAAGTCATTGTTTAAACAAATGGACAAATACTTTAAAGGCAGATTCAAAACTGGTAACTTGAGGAAGCAAGGTGTGTTGATACCACTTGTCCATATCTGTGAGGGCTGAGGAATGATGGAGCTGTTCATTGGCAAAAGCTCTGGACATGATAGGGCTGAACAGAAAGAACAGAAATCCAGCTCACTTCAGCCTCTCATATTCCTGGACTGACACCATTGGAACACTTCTACCTGAAAGTATATTTAGAAAACCATATGGCGAAATCCACAGCTAGCACTCAGGAGTGGAACAAAACAGAAGCATCCTCTAGATCTTACATGCTTAACAAAAGAACCTAAGTAAAGAAATGAAGGAGATTATAACGTTACCCAAGACTTTTAAGAAGGACAAAGTTTCACTCAACAAACATTGCACAATCAGTCAAGACACGAATGTTGCTCCCCATGTTCCTGCAGGTATGGGATCTTACATTTGAAATCTTTCGTTCAATGATTAGGCAGTAGGTTGGTGTCCCTTTCTACTTTTATAAAGAAAACATTAAATCTCTTTCTCTTCCTCCTTTTCTTTCTTCTTCTTTTTTGGTTTATTTTAGGAAAAAATGATATCTTTGGAGAAATGGTTCATCTTTATGCCAAGCCTGGCAAGTCTAATGCAGACGTGAGAGCGCTCACGTACTGCGACCTGCATAAGATCCAGCGAGAAGACTTACTGGAGGTCTTGGATATGTATCCAGAGTTCTCAGACCACTTTCTGACGAATCTAGAACTGACTTTCAACCTGAGACACGAGAGTGCAAAGGTAGGGCCCCACTGCTGACCTTCCCATTTCTGAAATGTCATTCATAAATCTGCCAAGTGCTTCTGAAAACAACAAACAAAACACCAACAAAAATTTATCAGTATTAAATGCTGAGAGAAAGAGACCAGGTGAATGTTGAAATTAATAAATTATATGGCAAGAATTCAGTATTAAAAGATGGTGAATAATTTTTGAAAGGTCAATTAAGTTTGACCTTTTAGAAGTTCTTAGAGTCTTGGTTTACATTAGAGTTTTTGTAGGAAAATGAGTGGTTTTGAGTAATTTTTAAAATCCCCTAAAGGAGTTTATCTTGCATAGATAGGGAATGAAATATTATCTAATCTAGTATTCCTACCATATCAGTTGCTATTGATTTTCTGCAACGTTGAAAATATTAGACCTATCAAAGTTTAAATTAATACTAAACTCAACGTTCAAGTTAATGAAGTATGAATTAATTAACTCTTACAATAGAGTCAAAATCTAGGCTATGGAATGAATAAAATATTGTCTAATAGAAATAATATCTTATGTTTAATTCTGCACATTACCCAACCTTTAATGATTTTGAGAGTGTGGCTCTTACTGTGCTCCACTGTGAACTCTGATTTATAAACTAGTCTTGTCTTGTGGAAGGACAACTTACATCATAGCTCACAATTTGTTACTGGGTTAATTTGCCAAGTTTCAGGAAGTCCATTTATTTCTAAATGCCCTTTTATCATACATCAAACATTGAGCACTTGGTACTTGCCCAGTGTATTTATTTATGAGCTAATGTGTTCTATGGAAGAATTCCCTAGGTCAATATTTAGGCAAAAGATGTTAGACTTAAGTCTCCATGGAGTTGTAGTCATCTCCAGGCATTCTGAGAGGCTTAAGAAACAGCAGTTTCTAGGGTCACCGGGTGGCCATTCAGTGTTCTAATTCAGCTTACTGAGCTAACTTCTTTTCAAACAAACAAACAAAAAAAACTAAAACTTACAGTAAAAAGTCTCCAGTTCTTAAACATATGTTCTCAGAATAGTCTTACTGAATGTGACCTCAGTCAGAGAGCATCAACCTCATTCTGGTTTTACCTAAAATGCAACTATGAGCCTCAGGTGACCCCATTGTACTGAAATTCATATGGCAACCAGATGAACAATGCAACCAGAATTTCTGCTCTGATTTACAAGACTGATGGTGTACAGACAATCAAAGAGGAGAAGGAGGAGCTGAAGCAAGTCTAATAAAGGTCTTTTATCATAGTATCGATTGTCTTCAATCATATATTGATTGTAAAATTTAGCCTTATGTTCACTACTAAGTAATATATACATCCTAGTTACTGTTAATTGATTCATAAATTCTGCTAGCAATAATACAGATTCTTCTACTTGTCTAAATTGTTAATATTTTAAACGTTTATCGTATTATACAAAATACTCCCTTCTGTGGACTATTTTATTTCTAAATTCTAGTGCCAGATCCTAAAATTCCTAGCCCATAACTCCTACAAACCGTGGTTTCCCCAATCAAATTGCGAAGCTACTAGAATTATTCTATCAATCTGTTTTACAGCTCAGTGCTAACTTTCAAGAAAATTACTATAACTACTTGGCCAAAACATAATTCTTAAGATTTAAAGTGGTTGCTGCGAAGTGATATAGTAGAGTTTACCAGTAAGACATTATACTCAAGTAGCATAACCTTCTAGATCCCTCTTTGAGTTCCATTAACAAGGCTGATTTTCCACTGCAGTCCCAATCCATAAATGATTCTGAAGGGGACACCTGTAAACTACGAAGAAGAAGACTGTCCTTCGAAAGTGAAGGCGAGAAAGGTAATCATTCTTTCTATTTGTAAAGTTTAATCTCGAGCACACGGTGTCTAGCTCTTCTTGCTTAAATACTCATTATAGTTTTGTGATTTTCAAGGTTATATCTAATTCATGCTTTGATAGTGTCGGGAGAATCACTATGTTTCCAAACTAAAAACATTGGTTTTGTTCCGGGGTTGCTATGTCTGAATTACATCACTCAGCAAAGCCACTCCATGTCTTCAAAGACAGCCAACAGAGGAACTGGAAAAATTGATTGAAAACAAAATCAAGTTGATAATAGATAATAAATATACTCAGAGTTTGAAGCAGAGTGTTTTGGGAAGAGGAATTTTCATTTCAGGTCAGAAGTGTAATTCCTTCACCAGCAGGCACCACACATATCAATTATGTGGATGAAGGCACAAAATAGAACTCATCTTCATTAGGGAGTGAGGGGGAGCCACTCTCAGTCAGGAACAGAAACAAGTGCACTTCAGTAGGACCCCAGATACAGGTGTACATAAGTGTGCCTGGCAACGAGACCAAGATGTCACGAAAAACCTTGCACTTTGCCTCCTGCTGATCTCACCAGCATTCTAGCCTTTTCCTATTTGGCCTCACAGCAGCACCTGACCCTGAATCAATTCTTCCCATTGAATAGTCTTTGCTTGGTGTCGGTGACTCTCCACTCTTCCTATTTTTCTTCTAACTTCACAAATTCTCTGGAGATAACTTCGTATCATATTCTCATCTGGCTTGTTATTTCTTAGAGTTTCTTTTTGTTGTGTGTGTATTTGTATGTTTGGTATGCATACATGTTCACATGGTATTGGGGTGCATGTGCACATTTGTATACATGTGTATAGAGGCCATAAAACTACCTCAGATGTCTTTCCCTCTTCCTTTGAGATGGGATCTCACTGGCTTAGTTCTCACAACTAAGTTACACATGTTGGCCTGTGAACTTCCAGGATCTTCTGCCTTCGTGTTTTTTGTAATTCATGCACATCTCACAATCTCAAAGTTTTTATATAGGTTCTAGAGATTAAACCCATGGCTTCATGCTTGTAAGACAAGGACTTTATCAACTGAGCTCTCTCCACAGACTCCAAAGTTTCTTAAGATATCTTCCACCTCCTTTCCTTTTTATGTAATATCATCTTTCTCTGATTAATATCATCTATGCTTCTAATTTCATTCTGTCTTCATTTGGGAGGTGTGCATATTAATATCTTAAACCACAGGCCAGATGAGTTTCCATATTGTGACTCCAACTTTTTATTAAACTACTTAAGCTCTCAAAGGTATCCCCTAATGCTTCCTTGAAATTCCTGTCCCTCTCCACATCTATTGCTCTGCAAATATTCACACCCACACCATTCAAATCAGTTCCACAAACATGTAGGATTATAACTTCTCTCAAGCTATGAAGAAACTGTAATGTTGATTAGACTTTTCCACTGCTAATTCCACCATCTCTACTTTCAAACCTAGGTGTCCGTTGGTTCATTTATCTCTATTCCCACAGCCCCTCCACCCGATTGAGTCTAGATATTATCATCTGTCTCCTTAGAATACTAAACCAGCTTTTTAACTAACTCATTTTCCTTGTAAAATTTACTCTATTTTCATCTATTCTACACATTGGGACACGGATGACATTTTTTGCTGAATCCAATTACATGCATGTCACCTATATATTTAACTTCCTCTAAGGACTTCCTATTCTGTATACTCCTTTGTTATTACTAATTTTTAAGATTTATTTTGAGAATTTCAAAGATGATTACTATATTTACATTTTTTATTCCTCCCTCTTCCCACTCCAACTCTTCCAATGCCCCTACTCCTCAAATGTACGACTTCTTCTTCATTATTACTACATATAGACATAGATAAGATATAGATATAGATGAGAATGATAGATATAGATAGATAGATGAAACATAACACATATACATACATACATATATACATACATACACACACACAAACATACAAACATTGTAGAGAATCTATTGATTGACTCTATTTAGTATTGAAGACTGACTAAAAAAAATTGGGTAACCTATCAATGGCTCTTCCTTAAAGAAAACAGAGTCTCCTGTTCTGTGTATTGGTAATAGAATTGGCTTTTTTTTCTACTTCTTTGAGTCTTTTATCTCATACTATTTTAATTCCCCTTAATTATTCCCATGAACTCACCTTTGCCCTGAGGCTCATCTCCTCCAAGCCTTTATATCAGTTATAGTTATTTAAGACACTACTGCTCGGTGTTGTCTACCTGTGAATTGTGAACTTCATAAAAATGGTATATATTTGTTCCCTGTGACTCAGGGGCATGTACAGCCTTATCTATTGAAATTACATATGAACCGGCAGAATTGTACATTTCCGTAACCCAAGTACTCCAGAGGCAAGAGGATTGCAGTTTTCAAAACAGATGAAGCCACTGGAAGGAGGAGGAGGAAGAGAAGAAACACAAATGAAATGGCATTTGAGTAACCCTTTTCCAACTTCATTTTGTCTTCATATTTCAAGTTCTCTTTTTAACTCTGTTCCCTTGGAGATAACACCTGCTAGCTTCTTGCTATTTGTTTTTTAGTGAATTAAATTCTTCTCTCTTTTATGTACATTGTTTCTGTGTTCTTGCATATGTTATTCCTTGAGATAGATTTTCAGCCTTTTCCTAAAACATATGAACACCCATAGATCCAAGGAAACCTTCACATACAACCAGACCAGACTGTTTTTCATTCACTAAACTTGTGGTTTGTGATGTGTTTAACGAGCATTTTCTTGATCACTTTAAATGCACAGGAATTTTCTTATGAATCCCCACAGTGCATTTCTTTCGCGATATCGCCAAACCGTGCCCTGTGCTCGGGTTACTGGCATGATTGGTTTCTTTTTTATCTCTACAAAACTTTAGGTGCCTTCAAACAAAACACATCTGATAGATATTGGTTGTCTTGTACCAATAGTCGAATCAATCAACTACTTAATAAACTATTTAAACTTCATAAACTACTCACCAATAGGAAGTATTTTCTGCAATGGCCTTCTTTATTTTCTTGGTAGAGTTTTCTAAAAAGCACCCCTGATGTCAAACTGTTTTTCCATAGAGTTAATCTGACTCCCTCATCCTGGTGTTAATCTCTTGGTTTTATCTCACTGGGAATGGAGAACAGCCTGGCAATGTGTAGCCTGTGTACCATTGTTCTCCAAAGGGTTGAAGATTTATTAAATCCTCTTTCAATCTTGTTCAGTTTCCCCATTCTCAAGGCAAATAATCTCAAGTTTTTATCTTCTGATAAGGCTCTGAAATCGGGTCACAATTCACAAGGGATCATGTACCCAGACATTTCTATTGACGTTGAAAACATTCCGTTTAATCACAGCCTTAGTTTGTGAGATCTGTTTTATATAAAGTGCAGATAGCAGGAGATTTGCCCTCCTGTATCATTCTGAAGTTCCCTAGCACGCCAGTGTGTTACCATGAGTTCAACAATGTGAAAATACAATTAATTCCCATTATCCGGAGCTTCACAACCTTTTTTCAAAGCCTTTGGAATTCCAGGTTGCTGCTGGCAAGTACAAAATTCTGCTGAGAGTAATCTAGAACCTGTCACCCCAATCTAATACTCTTTAGGTGACCAGTCATCCCATATTTTGTCACATAAAATTGTCTTCTGGGGGGGGAGGTACATAAAACAGGTCAATGTACAGTAGTAGAGAATTTCCACAGGATTCTCTAATACTGATAAACCCAGGGCTGAATAAACTAGAAGGTTCACAGGGAATGTACCTATAATTACAGTGTTACCTTACTGCTCCTATGAGACAGATCCTTGAAGGTAGTATTCCAAGAGCATTGACGTCTTATGACATCAACTTACATAGACAACAGGGACAAGAAGAGTCTGGGCATCGGAGATGGGTAAACAGAGGTAGAATCCTGCCTGTTTGCCAAGTTCCTTCTCAACAAGATGCCCAGAGTTTTTGGGATTTAGCCCTTAGCATGTCTACCTCATGATGCACAAACAGCATATTTTAAAAAATGGCTAGGGCCTCTGCCAAGCTGAGTTAAACATAAGGAATTTGTTGATGTGGATAGTTTGTCTTCATGAGCTTCAGATTTCTTCTGAGAAAATGAACTCACTTCCCAACAGAAAGGAATTGTCACAGCAGATCTAAAGGTTGGGGTTAATTCCTTCTTTAACTTCTGGGAGACAGGCACCTAGGATCTCTCATGACTAGGGTCAATCAGCATAGGTAGAGATGTTAGAGCTCCCAAGATGGAAGTAGAATCTTCTTTTTTTATTTTATATTTTTTATTTTCTTAAAAAAAAGAAAACAACTATCTTTTTTCATTATACATACCAAACCAAGTTCCCACTCCTTCCCCACCTCCCGTTCCCTCCACTTAACCCTCCCACCCACACCCCCATCCACTCCACAGAAAGGGTAAGGTCCACGACCCTCCCTACTATATCTAGGCAGCTGAGCAAGGTATCCATCCAAAGAGAATAGGTTCCAAAAAGCCAGTACCAGCAGTAGGGATAAATCCTGGTGCCACTGCCAGTGGCCGTGCAGTCTGGCCCAGCCATGCAACTGTCACACACATTCAGAGGGACTAGGTTGGTCCTATGTTGGTTGTTTACTTCCCTGTCAGGCTGAAGAGGGTGAGCTCTCATTAGCTCAGGTAGACTGTTTCAGTGGTTGTCCCCATCATGGTCTTGACCTCTTTGCTAATATTCTCACTCCTCCCACTCTTCAACTAGAGTTTAGGAGCTCAGTCCAGTGCTCTGATGCAGGTCTCTGCCTCTGTTTCCATCTGTTGCTGGATAAAGGTTCTCCTGGTCCTCTTCTTGCTACATAAAACAAGAAGCAAAGTGATGCTTCAGTTATGTATTCTGTTGCCAAGGAAACTGCAGTGAGTGGGCAAAATAAACTAATGAATGAAACAATGAAAAATCACTTCCTCTTAAGTGGTCTACAAAGTTGGATTATGTTTACTC